AAGCGTGGGTGCGTTGAACGAGCAACGGAGAAGTCGCCGGTTATTTGACGGAATATGTCGCTCAAAAAATGCAAATTTGTTTGGAAAACTTGTCAGTTTATCAAAATATCGCGACCATATTCAGCTGCAGAGTATTTTAGCTTCGGTCTGCTAAAGAAAGCCCTCATTTGCTGGTTTTTCTTTGTTTCTGCTTGTGCTTGCCTTCTCCTTCTCTCCCGCTTTCTCCCGCTCTTTCTCACTCTCTCTCACTCTCTCTCTCTCTCTCTAGTTCTGTGTGCTTATCTAGAGAGCTGCTTGCTTCTTTCTGTCTTTGCCATTTCCATTGCTTTTTCTCTTAATGCAAATTGATTCCTACTCCAGCTCCTCGCATCGCATTTGCTGTTGATTGATTCATGGCCGCCCCCACACTCGGTCGGCTTTTAGAGCATAGCTCACTCACCCTCACCCTTCCTTCCACCATCCCCCCTCCCTCTCTGTCTGTCTCGCTCTCTCGGGCCAGCTGAAAAGTTCGCATTGGCCGCTTAATCGGTCATTGGGCCTTGTTATACAGCTCAATTATGGTCATTTGCCATGTGGCGCATGTGGTACTCTTGGCCCATTTGGTATTGGCGCCCACCCTTAACCTTGCTGGGTTAGCGCTAAGCACTTCCCGACGTCCCCGTCTCGCCGCTCCTCCATTCCTCTAGCCCTCTTTCGGTGTAAAAGCCGTGTCACGTGCCTGGGGCACCACCAAGTGGGGTTTGGGGGGGGCCTGCCAAAGCCTTTAATCGATTTGCCTTCCGTTTCTGTCGTTAGCTAAAAATGTTGCCTACTAAAAATAAACGCTTAATGCAAATCGACAACAGCAACAACAACAATAAAAACATAAAACAAAACCAATTGCAAAATGAAGTCAACAACAGGCGCCCGAAAATTTTCAATTTGTTTGCCTCAGCAATGGATCCGGTTCCAGAGTCTCTCTCGCTCTCCCCCCCCCCTTTCTCGCTCACTCGAGTTGTTTGTTTATTTTTGCTATTACAACACAAGGAAAACAAATAAACACACACGTACACACATACACACACTTTGATAGACATCTATATAGACATATATAATTTTAATGACTGCATTTCGAGTTTTGAATGCATCCTTTCACCCAAAATGGACTCAAAATACGTGTATTCAGATATTATCTGTGCGTGTTTATACAAAGACCCATAAAAGCAAGCAATTTATGAGCTATTTTGAAGTATTTTCGCTTTCATTACTCTACAATATTTAAGTGGAACTGCGAAATGTATAGAAATCGAGAATCAGTCTAACATTTCCTATACGTTGCGGGGCTTCGATCCCTAAATGTTTTATTGCTTGGTTTGAGCCGGCGACTTCCCCATTGCTAGTTCAACGCTTATTTATTTCCTCCTTTTCATTTGTAAATCAATTTTTTTTAATTTACAAATTTTCACACATTTTCCACAAGCTTCGCTTGCATATTGTTAGTTGAGGCTTCTAGCGAAAGGCTTCTCTGCAATTCATATCATATTTAATAGATTTCTCTAATAGAAAATTGTAATCTAGCTTGGCAGCGATAATATCATCGATTTTATACGAAGCACTACAATGGCCGTGATGGGAAAAGTAACGCCCCAATGGCATCTATCATAAAGTATATTGATTATATTTAACACTATCTGGGCGATAGGCGCACCTGCGGCAAATAGTCGAATCTGTGGGCACCATCCATTAAAAACGGCAATTGGCGATAAGGAAGCGGAGGGCGGTAGGGGTAAATAGCCAGCTAGTAACCCATATTTATAATGCGTAAAATTATCGAAACATTCTGCCAACATTTTGCTATCAAGTGTGTAGAAGAACTCTGATACGGTATCACATATTTACCATATGTTAGATATGTTCCAATTGCACTGTACTCATTTTTGGGCTTTCGGTTTCGATTGAGGTTTACTCGAATTTCACTTTAGACAATTTGAAGGCATCTTTTTCATATGCTGGGTATGCCCTAGTCGTGCACTCCCGTCTAGAGCAATCTGACTTGTTTAACAACAGTTACCTCATCTGATGAAGCTGGAAACTTTGCTTAAATTTATTTAATACGTGTTGTGGAACAATCCACCCAACTTTCTTTGGCAAATGCGTGTCAAGGATTGTATTGAGCTGCTAACTTTGTGGAAATCCAAATGTCGTCTCCTAATTCCAGGAACTCGAAACTCAAAATCTGTTTTTTAAGATGTGGAGTTCAGCCTATTATGTAGATTACAATTTTGCACTGGCGGCAGAAGCGTGTCAAAAGTAATTGAAACAAGTAAGAGGCTCTAGTCGGGAGCTCACGACTAGGGGATACCCTAAACCTTCTTCTTTCAACATCAAATGCATATATATATTTTATTTTAGAAGCTATATGTCAAGTTTGGTGGACGGACAGACGGACGGACAGACAGACGGACATGGCTAGATCGACTCGGGTCAGGGTATAAAAAAGAATGAAGCACTTGAAGAGGACAATACTAAAGTCTGATTTCTATATTCAAGTGCTCCCGAAACGAAGACTCAATTGTTTATGTTAAATATGTATATTTGAGGCATGTGAAATTTATCTTAAGATGCTTTGCTTCAATTTCAACATATTATAGACTTTTGTGCAGCTTTCTTCAATTATTAACATTATATTTATTATCGCTTTAAATTGTACTTTTTCTTTAGGTGCTTAGACGGCATTTGAACACGTCAACGCATTTTATTTTCACTTTATTTTTTATTTCGATTTTTATTTGATTTTCATTATTTTATTTTCTGTGCCGCTTATCAGACTGCCGAGCCGTATAATCTGGCCAAAAAGAGAGCGCCCGGTTTTCTTGTATTAATAATTTAACAAGGCTATATCTCGCTTGCTCTTTCCTCCCCTCTCCATCTTCATCACCATCTCCATCTCTGTCTCTCGCTGTCTCTCCTACTCGCTTTCTCCTTGTCGCTGTTCCCCTGTCACACGCTGTCTATCTTTTCGCCGGTCCCAGTTGCTTATCTTATCAATAGACAGCGTCAACAGCTACGACAACGTCGACGTCGAAGAACTTCAATTCAATTTCTTTTCAATTTCTTGACGTACACATACACCTACACACACACACACACACACACACACACCTGCACACACACACACACACCGCCCACCTGTCAAGCCGTCAGTAATTTTTTTTTTTTTTTTGCTCACGCTGCGAATCTCGACAGAATCTCGTAATGATGAGCGACGGTGTCATGTTTTCATTAAGCGCCACACACACACACATACACCTCGACACACACCCACACACACACACCCCAACATACACGCACACACAAGCAACGCTCACTTGTGCCAAAAAATGTAAATTTGAAAATCTTCTCTAATAATAATAATGTCGTGTAATAATACAATATGTATGCAGGCATATTGTCTACGAAGGTAGAAATGAAGCCGAATGCTGGCCTTTGATCTAATCACACTGCCAGGCGCAACACACACACACACACACACACCCTAGGCCAGGTGGGAGAGGTGAGCCAAGCAAATGCCTCCGCCCCCTCGCTGTGAGCATGAAGATGTTTCGCTCTGCGGCTTTCACAAAATGTTAATTTTGTGCTAATGAAAGCGGCGTCTATTTGCCTGATTGTGTGTGTGTGTTTGTGTGTGTGTGTGTGTGTGTGTGTGTGTGTGTAGGTGTGTGTGTGCTGGAGGGTGCTGGTGTGCGCGTGTGTGTGTGTGTGCAGCATTTAGACGCCATTTTGTCAGGCTGTCTAATGAAATTGCGCTGTCTTGTGCAAGAGATTTTTGGCTGCACAGATTTGCGCGTGGCAGGAGCCGTAAGGAACAGGCAAATAAGAGAGCTAGGCTGACCGACTAAGAGACACCCTGTAGTTAGCGTTGGATACAACAAATATACAATAGTTCCAACATTCACATAAAAAAAATACAGACATAGCTTTTAAGAACTGCGAGATTTCCTTCAGAAACCCGTATTTAATATCGATATTTATCGATATCGATAGCTGGCGGTAGTTTGGAACCTGAACAGCGTTCAATATATATGAAACAATATACAAAATCGATGTGCACCTTATTCCAATAGATCTCAGAGATGGACATATAGATAAGCTTACATATAAATATCGATAAATATCGATTTTTAGCACTTGTTTTTGAGCAGATCTCGCATATGCCAAGACTCATCGATGCGAACTCTCTATATACTAATATAAAAAGCTTGAAGGAAGTCAGCGTGGCCTTACAACACCAAAGCTACAGGAGGTAAATTCTCAAATTCGAATATATATATGGGCATACATAAATACCTATTACATACATTCACTGACTATAGGGTACAAAAGCACATTTTTGTTTCAAGTTTGCTCTGCTCGTTTCTCGTTTCTTGTTTGGGTGGCGCCATCTATGGGCAGGTGTACTTCTGACCAAGTTTTCCTAATGTTTACTTTTAAGGCAAGTGTCAAATAACAATTAACGAAATGAGCTAGACGAAAAACATTTTACCAGCTACAGCCAAATGGAAACTAATTTAAAAATTGGCTTTATAGTCAAACAGATAGAGTAATGGTTGTCGCTAATGACAACCATTTTAATAATACTAATACAATAATATTTTTAATTTATGTTCCTCGTTCACACTGAGGAAAGAGTCAAAGCTTAGATGAGTCAGCACATATATACATAGGAAGCACCATCGATATTTGCTATCGATATTTGTTTTCTTGCCAAGGTAATTGAATGCGATTCACCTAACATGTCACCATTGCGATGAATAACTTAATTGTTCACTCATTTAATATGTTATCGATGACTTATAATAATGGCTATAAGTTATCGATAACTGATTAAAAGATATAGATGCAATTTTAAGTCGATAAATAATTCTTAACGCTTTTCGATCAATAAATTGACTTTATCGAAGTGTTATCGATAACATATAGTTAACAAATTGTTATTTTGAAATGCATTGTGCGTCACTTACCAAATGTAAAACTGTGTTGACCACCTCACGATTGGTCACCTGGCCGACCTCGATGAGGCCGATGAGGACGGCAAATTTGAGATTGTCGGCGGTCGTCATTCTGACAATTTCGTCGGGCCGCTTAATGTCGCTAAACGGCGGACGCATGATGTCCGCCATTTTGTATCGAGTCGATTGTTAGTTATTGGTTGTTATCGATAGTTATTTGATTTCAACAATTATGTTATCGATTGTTTTGATATTTGATTTGATTTATTTTGCACAAGTGCCACATGCAAAATTGTTGCATTAATAAGTTGTCATTTAGATCAGGTTACGTATATAAATATATTCACTTATATATATATATGTGTGTAGATTAATGGATGGATTGCACAGGGGGGGGTGGAAATACACACGCACGCACACATATACACAGATGCACAAAAACACATACACGATATGTGTGCAGGCTGACGATGCTTTTTGGCTAAAACAATAAAGATTTCTCTTATTTTTTTTTTTTTTTTATTTTGGTGTTGCAAATTTTTAATTGCCAGGCAATTGGGAATAAAATAACAAAAAAATTGCTTAATTATTTTTATTTAATTTTTTTTTTTTCTTTTTGAATTTTTTGGCTGGATTTCGTTATTTTTAAAAAATTTTTAATTTTGCACTTTCAACTTGTGTGACACATTTTGTTGTTGTCGTTGTTTTTGTTGTTGTTGTTTTTGTTGTTGTTGTTTTTTTTTTTGTTTTGGCAGCCACTGTTGGCGCTCACATCGAGTCGCTTTTGTTGTTACATTTATTTATTTCTATCGATTTTTTTTTAATATTTATTTTTTGATTATTTTTTTTAATTTTTCTGAATTGCACACTTGATTGTTGTTTTAATTGATTTTGTTGTTTGTTTTTGTTTGTTTTTTTTTTTTTTTGTGGATTGCGGAGGGGTTTTCATTTTTCAACATTTTCGGTGTCATAAAAAACGAGAAAGAGAAAAACGACAAAAATGCAAAAATTAATATGAATTCAAAGAGGTTTACTTAGAATAAGTATATGCAAAATTAATATGGAAATATTGAAAGAATAAAATAAATAGATGCTCGTTAAGATAAGTATTTTTATGGTTTTTTCCCAAGGTACAGATGTTGAATTAATAGCAGGGGTCTTTTTTTTTGAGTGGAAATGCAGGAAGCATTCGGGCTAGAGGATACTTTCTTTTTATAAGACAGCCAAGCACAAAAACAAGCACATTTTATAGAAGAAAATTAAATCTTAATTAAATGCAACGCAAAATAAAAATTAGTCAGTTTTAATGTATATTTTAAGTTGTTCGAGGTCTGGTCTTTGATTTCTCAAAGAAATATTTTAAAGCCAAATTGTTTTGGTTATTATTTAAAAAAAAATAAAGCCCGGCACCTCGAGCCAGCTAAGGAAATATATTAGATCAATTTTCAAAGCTCGTTAAAGCAATTAACTGCAATTTGTGAAATGCCAAACAATCGAAAAAGTTATCGATAATCGATTTCGCATAAAATAAACGCTGTTATATCGATTGTACTTGAGGAAGTTTAGTTCTAATTGAACAGAATTCTTTTAGGCTTTCATATAGTTTGTGTCTCACCGTTTGTTAGCAAAATGTTCCACAAAATCTTGTCAACGTTTTTGGTTTTCTGATGTGTTCAAAGTTCGTTTTAATGCTTCCCGAGTTCAATAAAGTTGTAAATGTAAATCTTTTGCTAGCGGTCAAATGTCATGCGAAAGCACTTAAGAGGCCATTCAAAAAGTTTCGACTGCATTTTAAAGATACAAAAAAGTTTCCGACTATATTGGTTAGCAAAAAATCAACAAAAAATTAAAATAGATATGAACTGAACCTGAAAGCATTTTGAAGGTATTGCTGTCTATTATATGTGCCCATTTTGAGACCAACAAAAAGGGAAAGAAAAAAAAAGAGAAGAAAATTGATATGATTGTTGAGAACAAAGCAACTTCTTAGAATCAAAGAACGTCCAATAACACTTGTCGTAAAATGTGTAATGCCTAAAAAAGTGTTAAATCCGATCCGATAAAGTTATATACATCCATTCATCTATGTCCTTCTGTTCGTCTATTTGTCTGTCTGTTTCTATGCGAAATAGTTCTCAGTTTTAAGACTTTCTATTGTAGGTTCTTTCACGTAGGTTCTGATATGGAAAACTTCTTTGCTAATCAAGATATTTTGACCAAACCTGGCATTTATAAGTTTTACTTTAAGCCCTAAATAAGTGGGAAATCTTATATCGGTCGATCTGTCTGCCTGTCTGCCAGGGTATTAAATCTTCGGCATGCCGAGATTATTCTCACTTTCTCAATAATCTTAAGTTATCTCCAAAGTATTTTCAAATGCATTTTTTTATTAACTGGAAAACACAAAGTATTATTGATTAAAGAGTTGTCTCTTAAAACGTTTTCATATTTGTTTTCATAGATTCTTTTGATTTCCAACTTTAGTTTTCAGTTTCTTTCTTTTGTCCACAGCAAAGAAAAAATGCTTATCGAGCATTGTTTTTTCTAGACTGTCAGATAATAGATACCTTCTATGCTTGAACTCGCTTTGTTTGTCTCTCTATTTGCTTCCACACTTTATGTTTCTCTCTGTCTCTGCTCTCTACGCTTTTTCTCTGGCTACTTTATTTACTTTTTGCCCCGGGTTTGTTGAGCACATTTCTGGAGGGTTTTGACTCATGCAATTGTTATGGTTGGTGTGCACACATAAGACCAAGCACCAGAGTTGTTTAGTCGGGCGTGCACGACTGGCAGATACCTAAAACCCAGCGTCAAGCTGTCATTTGCGGTGGCTATGTCCATTATACGAAGAGTCTACTATTCTCTAATATGAGAAGAGTCTAATTGTATAGTATGCTTTCCTTTGTCTAGTATAAAAAGAGTCTAGTTAATTAATTCCATTTGTCCAGTATAAGAACCATCTAGTATGCTTCCTTAAGTCTAGTATAAGAAGATTATTCTCCCCTCAGTCTATTATGAGAAGAGTGTAATTTTCTCCCGTTAATCTAGTATAAGAAGAGTCTAGTATAAGAAGAGTCTAGTCAATTCCCTTTGTCGAGTGCAAGAGCAGTCTTTTATGCTTCCCTTTGACTAGTATAAGAAGAGTCTACTATTTTCCCCTAAGTCTAGTATGAGAAGAGTCTAATTATCTCCCATTAGTCTAATATAAGAAGAGTCTTGTATAAGAAGATACTAGTTAATTTCTTTTGTCGAGTATAAGAGCAATCTACTATGTTTTCCTTTGTCTAGTATAAGAAGAGTCTATTATGTTTCCCGTACCAAAAATCGATTCTAGTTTAACTTCGGCGCTTATTGTCCGATTATTTTGAAAGTTTCGGAACTTAGCTGGGGCAAATCTATATGAAAATGACTTTTATGTACATTTTGCGGAGACTGAGCGAACTAATTTAACAAGTAAAGGATCTTGTTTGTATGTGAAGACAAATTGAAGTATAAAGAGGTATTAACTCGTTCTGCGTATGGCATGAGAAGCTATATTTTAGCTATATTATAAAGACTTTCTACTTGTATAATTTCCGAGCTAGATATGACTCGTTCAACTCATCTTGACGTTCTGAATATATGCATATATACACACATTTACATATAAACAAAAATATATGTATATATATGTATATATTTAGTTGATTCTCAGGCCTGTTACATGCATTCGCTCGGAAACCTTATACCCTCTTCCCTCAGGGTTTCGGGGTATAAAAACTAACTTATGCAAAGGCAGTTCGTCACGCACCAGCGATAAAGCTGCCTAGAACAATAGCCCAACAATAACTGGCATTTATTATTATTTTAACTTTTTACTTTATAGAAATCGTATGAAATTGAAGAAAGCCATTCTCTTTATCTATATAATATCTAATGAAAAAATCTCCAGATACAAAGTTTGAATAGAATAAAAAGTCTGTCTTTGATGGGTTTTGAATTGGAATATATAGATATATAAACATATCTTTAACTTGAAGATATTATGACAGAAGCGCTTGAGGCAACATTTTTTGTCGTACAATTCTTAAGAATCCGCAGTTTTTGAAAAATGTTCGATTTCGAACTTTCTTTTGTACCAGAAACCATTTCCTTTTGATACTAAAATCTTTCTCATATTCCCTTTTTTTTGATACTTTCAGCCTTTCGATTTTTAACTGGAATATTTCAACTTTCAATTGAATATGGGAAATATAATTTTATGGAAAAATATAAACAGGAATTGCCTTAATCTTGTAAGCTTTTCACAGACAGACAAAAATCCAATGCAAATCCAATCCAACTCTAGCGAGTATTTACTGTAGATTCTTTCAAAGGCTGCAGCCCACATATCATTTAGCTCGAGTGGCCCCCATAAGAAGTGTTTGTATGTAAGCTATAGGGGCCTGCTCTGAATCAAAATCGGTTTATAGCCACAAATCTTGCTTAATTGCAAACACAAAATTCAACTAGAATTACCAAAAAATAAAAAAGTTTGATTGGGAAATAATACAGAAAAGTACAACTCAGTTTAAAGAAAAACCGGCGTGGCACATTTTGCGTTAGTTGTTGGCGGCAGAGACGTCGGCAGCGACGTCGACGTCGACGTTGACGTTGACGGGTCGAACGACACTAGCGCTATCAAACGCAATTATCGCAGCACGCTACGTAAATGAAGTGCGCTTACGCTAACGCGACACGTAAGCGGCCGGTTTTGGGCCCCTTGCAATGTGCCAGTAGCTAAGTGTGTGTGTGTGTGTGTACGAAGTTTAAAGTGTGTGTCGCGAAAGCGGGCGAGGGAATGGGGCATTGGTACAATAAACTAAATGAAACGCGGGACGTGAGAAGCGCGAGAGAGTAAGAGAACGTGAGCGAGAGAGCGGCGGCAAGTGTAAAGCAAGCACCATTAAGTCATGTCAAGAGAAGCACGAAACGAGACGAGGCAAGGCGAGGCGACGCGACGCGTCACAGCAGCTCAGGTGATGCATGCCCAATTGGAGCATGCATGTTGCCAATTGGCAAATGTTATGCATTTAACATAGCATTACACAACACTGAAAAGATCACTCTCCGCGGCCAAAGTTGAACTTGAATTTGTGTAGAAAACAAATAGAAAAAAACAAAAACTGCTATCAATATGTTATCTAAGTGTTAATGGCAACATGGCAGCCCAGGCAAAGGCAAATGTGATAAATAAATGTTATCTGTCTGTTGTGTGTGCTTATTCGCTGAGGGCACGGCCACCGGAGAGGGGCGAGCTGCCAGATTGTACCGCAAATTGGTTAGCTTTACCAATTAGAGCCTGTGCATTAACATAACATTGCTACGGAAAATCCGTTTTTATTTATCTTAATTTATCTGCCTTTAGTCAGTTTTCTTGACCCAACAACTTTGCCATTGGGTTTGCACTTTACGCGCGCTCTCGCGCTCTTTCTCGCTCAAACCGCTCTCCGGCTCTCTGTTGCTGGCGGCGCTCTTGTGCTGTTACAGTTCGCTGTTAAACGTTGTTGTTCTCGTTTTTGTTGCTGCTGCTGCTGCTGCTGTTGTTGTTGTTGTTGCTGTTGTTGTTGTTGTCGGTGGTGGCCAAAAGCGGCGGTTGTTCTCCTCGTTCTGTTTCGGTGGTTGCTTCGCAAGCGCTTTTTTGGACAATAATAATATTTAAAAATAAAATATGTGGTTTTAAGTCACATTGCGCAAGCAGCGGCAACAACAAATTACTCAAATTCTTTGTGCTGCGGGCCCAGTTATTTACACTTTGGCCTAACATAACCTCGAATAGCAACGAATTGTTAATTGCACACGCACACACACACACATACGCGCGTACACATGGTTACGTTTTTTCCTTTGTTTTCCTTCTCGTTCTAGCTCGTTCACTCACATGCCAGGCTATTCCACAATTCTCCTTGGTCGCCTTCCCTCCTCCCCCACAAACACACACTACACACACTCACTTCCCGCACCCGCTCCCCTTACCAAACATCTCGTGACCACTATGACAAAATGGAAAAATCAATGAATGTCAGCGCGTAACAGAGCCCAAGAGAGCGAACGCGTGAGAGCCAAAAGCATGTGAACGCGCCAAAGACAAAGAGAGAGAGAGAGAGAGAGAGAGAGAGAGAGAGAGAGAGAGAGCGCGCGCGCGCGCGCGTCCTGCTTCCGTCCAAGCCCGACCCCCCCTCCAGCCAACGACAACACGCTGCACGAACCTGAACACACGTCGTCAGTTTGTTAACTTATTCTTATTAGGCTGCTGCCAGCTACCACGTTCTACCACACACACACACACACACACGCCTTACGCTCTTGCATTCACATAACACGCACACACACACACATGCCCGCACACACACGTTCTCTCCCTATCTCTCTTGCTCTGTGTGTGGATGTCAACGTCAGCGTTGCGGCTTTTTCTGCTTCTTGCTAGGTTATTTTTTTTTTTTTTTTATCGTGTTATTTTGCACCACTTTATTATATTTTACATTCTTATAAGCGCATCAAGACCAGCACAAATGCTTATTGGCATTGCCCAAACTGCACAAATCTTAATTGGAGTGCCCAATTGGTTCACAGCAACAACACCGCGAAAAACAAACAAAAACAAACGACAAGAGAAGAGCAGTAAAGAGAAAGGAAGAGAAGATATAACGGAAAACCATAACAAGAACGAGCATGTTAAATGTAATTACAACAAAATGCCGACAAAAATATATCTTATATATTTACATTGTATTGTTGTCACGCCGAAAGCCGCATTGGCTGCGCTTTGTTGTTGTTGTTGCTATTGTTGTCGTATTTAATTATCTTTTGTAATTTTCTATAAACATTGCCGAACACTTTGCACATACAAACATATATCAATAATATTTATTTTTTTTTACTTAAATTTTTTTTTTGTAAATAGTTGTTACGATTGTTGTTTCGCACACGAACACACAAAAAAAAAACGCAAAAAAAAATTATTATTATGATGCATAAATAAATCAACGTTCACGTAACAACAAAAACACAACCATTTTCGTTTACGTCTTGCTGCCTACTGACGTTAACTCTTATGCCGTCAAACTGGCAATGAGAACGCATGGACAACAAACCCAATCAGAATGCTTGTTTATCGGCCGTGTTCTCGTTTACGGCAGCGTACAGTGGTATGCATTGCATTCAATGCCATTTGCAGACGAACAGTTGCTTAATCGTTTAACATTTACTTGTGATTTAGTTGAATATTGAATTCTTAATATAATTGCTTATAATTTGCCTGCATTTTAGGCTTTTTTATCAATAAAATATGGAATCAATTTGTTTAAGGACGCAAGCGAAATTGAGAACGTCGTCAATTACAGCTGTTAGAGGATAATTACATCTGTTGTCGCTTAAGCGACACTGTTAATGTTCACTTAACAGTCATGTACTCGCCGGAGAGTAACTTTTACAAGGCGCATCTAAGAGAAGAACTCTGTTATTAACACTGAGAGTCCTTAAACAGTGCTGCCCAATCCTGGCGCGTGTATAACAGTTTTTAAACGCATATACTAGTGTGGAATGGAGATTGCACAAAGTGTATGACGAATTTGCGCTATATTTATTAGAAATATCGTTTGTTGAATAAAAACTAGTTTTTAGCGTCGCTCTTTTCAACTTAACTGCCAAATAATTTAACATTATTTTTCTTTTCTTCAGAAGCAAAGTGTAATATTTAATATTTCTTTGTGGCGTAGCGCGAATTTTTAAACTTGAATAAGAGTATTTTCCAGCACTAGAGATTAGCTGGGAAATATGCAGCAGTATTAACCAACTCTTGTCATGTTTGAAAAATATTATGAGACTGACATACAATTTTGGTAATTGTTTAATGTAATTTCCGTTGGTTGGACCACACAGTTGTGTTTAATTTTGCTATATGTATGTAGTTTTGCACAATCATTCGGATTTCCCTGCCAGAAGTGATAATACATTCGATATTAATCAACTAGAAATCAAACTTTTCTAACCGTGCCATTTGAGTAAATTCCTTAAGATGAGTTTCCAATAACTGTAAACTATCGTTAAGAATTCGGCATGAACAGACAATAGATTTTCAATATCGATGAATTAACACAATAAATATCGCATATTAAGCTCACATCAAACATTAATTTCAAAAAACTATTGCACGTATTAAAATAATAAACTTTAGTCTATCTGAGCATATGCTCGTATGTTGATAATAATTTAAATATTCAAAATTCAAGTCTGTTTTTTGTGCCAAACCGCTAAGCAAATAAAAACACGGCCAATGTTTGACTTCACGTACGAAAACTAAACGAAACAAAAGCAGCGCCTAGTGTAACAGCTGCACTGTTAATGTTAAGAATTCATGTTAGACTTACATTGCGCAATTTACGTCGTTTGCTCAAAGCCGCGCCATTAAGAAAACAGCGTAGGCGGCGCTGCGAATGCCACATATTGGAACATTTTTAAATTGAATGAACAGTTGTTTTAAAACCAAAAACAAAAAGAAACAATTGATTTGACCGGCAGCAAGTCACGTCCCAATTTGAAAGCTTTGCTATTGCGAACTGTTAACTTTAACATTAAACCGTCTATCGTACGGCCGCCACGGGCTATCGATAATTCTCGCTCCCACACACACACACACACACTCGCACACACACACACACATATGCTCTATCATATTCATATTGACGACGACATCGTCATTCCGTATAAATTCCTCGAAATTCCTTATTTATTTTTTTTTTGTTGAATTGGCGCGTGCTGCGCTTGTCGACAGCAACATAAGTAGCCAACACAGCGAACCTGCAACAACCAACAGGCCCAACGAGCAAACCAAACAATAAACAAGTGAGTAATGCGCAACAAAATAACAAAAAAAAAAATATAGAGAAGAGAGGAAAAAAAACGCAACCAAACGCTCGCTCCTCTTCGCCTTCGTGTTCGTCATGCACTTTGTTTTTGTCAATGCTGCCGCTGCTGCTGCTGCTGCTGCTGCCTGCATTAGTCATACACAAATTTGGAATAGACTTTTGTTTTATTGTTATGTGAATGTGCGTGTGCAAAGGATACGAAATTTGGTGCTTTTGTTTTGTTGTTGATCGATTAAATCGATAAATTGCGTGTGCTGGGGTAACGTGACGTCACTGGCAACTAATTTAACATTCGCGTCTTTGCAGCAGCCGCAAACAAACACAACATACACACACACACACACAACAGACACACACAAATACACACAGAACAGACAGACAGAAGAAGAAGTAGAAGAAGAAGCACATCCATGGCAGCCGGCACGACACTGCAAAAGGCCATCGATCTGGTGACAAAGGCCACCGAGGAGGATCGCAACAAGAACTATGCGGAGGCGCTGCGTCTCTACGAGCACGGCGTCGAGTACTTTTTGCATACAATCAAATGTAAGTAAAGAACACACGACTCCCCCAATCCCCACCCACCCCACACGAAAAGCAAGTTAGGTAATTGTAACTCTTTCAGATGAGGCACAGGGCGAGAAGGCCAAGGACTCGATACGTGCAAAATGTCTACAGTACTTGGATCGCGCCGAGAAGCTGAAGGAGTATCTGAAGAAGGGCAAAAAGAAACCGATTAAAGAGGGCGGCGAGAGCAGCTCCAAGGATGATAAGGACAAGAAGAGCGACAGCGACGACGAGGACGGCGATGATCCAGAGAAAAAGAAGCTGCAAGCCAAACTGGAGGGTGCCATTGTTATTGAGAAGCCGTGCGTACAATGGTCCGATGTGGCTGGGCTCGATGCCGCCAAGGAGGCACTCAAAGAGGCTGTCATCTTGCCGATTAAGTTTCCGCAGCTGTTCACCGGCAAGCGCATACCCTGGAAAGGTATTCTACTGTTTGGGCCACCCGGTACGGGCAAATCATATTTGGCCAAGGCGGTCGCCACCGAGGCAAACAGATCCACATTCTTTTCGGTATCTAGCTCCGATCTAATGTCCAAATGGCTGGGCGAATCCGAGAAGCTGGTGAAGAATCTCTTCGAGCTGGCGCGCCAGCACAAGCCATCGATTATATTCATTGATGAGATCGATTCCATGTGCTCGGCCCGTTCGGACAATGAGAACGACAGCGTGCGCCGCATCAAGACCGAGTTTCTGGTGCAAATGCAGGGCGTTGGCAACGATACCGATGGCATTCTCGTACTGGGCGCCACCAATATACCCTGGGTGCTCGACTCGGCCATACGCAGGCGTTTCGAGAAGCGCATCTACATTCCGTTGCCGGAAGCGCATGCGCGCCTCGTCATGTTCAAAATCCATTTGGGCAACACCACCCATGTGCTGACCGAACAGGATCTCAAGGAGCTGGCCAGCAAGACCGAAGGGTGAGCTTGAGCCACACAGCACCCAAGTGCCAAACACAAACTAATCCTTATCCATTCCATGCCATCCAATATAGCTACTCTGGCGCCGATATATCGATTGTGGTGCGCGATGCGCTAATGGAGCCGGTGCGTAAGGTACAAACAGCTACACACTTTAAGCGCGTCTCGGGTCCCAGTCCGGCCGACAAGGAGAAGATTGTCGACGATCTGCTCGTGGCCTGCTCGCCGGGTGATCCGGGCGCCGTTGAAATGAATTGGATGGACGTGCCCAGCGATAAGCTGTTCGAGCCGCCAGTCACCATGGTGCGTAATCGTAATCCCAAGAGACGGCCTTAAAAAACAACGTTTTACTTGTATTTTTATAGCGCGACATGCTGAAGTCCTTGTCACGCACGAAACCGACTGTCAACGAGGAGGATTTGATAAAGCTGCGCAAGTTCACAGAGGACTTTGGCCAGGAGGGCTAAGCCGCAAAAGATAATGATACCGCCGCCATTAAGTCTACCACCCATCAGCTAATTCTTAATTGTTGCCTATTGCATAAAACGATAAACACGCCCCTGGCTCTATGGATCCACACACTCACACACACACACCCACATACACTATATATATATATAATAATATATTATATATATAGAATTTTTTTCTCTTCTGCTTTTTCTTTTACCACAAATTGTACACACACACACACACACACAAACGCTATGCATATGTGGGCTGCAGATCGTTCGTCTATATGGTTAAAATAGTTTATCAAGTTTTGCCGCCCCCTTGTGGCGGCTGCCGCCGCTGCTGCTGCTGCTGCTGTTGTAATCACGAAATGAAGAGAAAAAGTAGTCGATGTATTTTTTTATACACTTAATGTTAAGCTAAAACCCGAAATGAAACCAATTGTAATTTATGCGTGTTACACAGACTGCGATCGTGTGTGTGTGTGTGTGTGTGTGTATGTGCGAATGTTTGTAAACCTGCGAGTGGATGCCACATTCGATGCTGCCTTTACACCTGCACACCTGCCCACATGAGCCCCATCAGACACAGACAGACAGACAGACAGACAGACAGACGGACGGACGGACAGCCGCAGTTGGCCAATTGGCCAGTTAACCAGGCAACAGGCAAACTATTTTTAAATGTAACCGCTCAAAATGCAACAAAAAAAAAATTAAACGATATTTGAAATTGATAAGCATCTAGAAATTCAGTGTGGCTCGACTGTGGGATGCCCTGTTCAAAATTAAACATTCGAATCTGTAATTCGCCTTAAACTCATATTCATTTTAAACTATTTTCGTTTTGTGCACGTCTCGGGCCTTTCATATATATATATTTATATATATATATATACATGAATTTTTTTTTTCTTTTTTGATTATGCTTAGAAATTAAAATTGTTAAATAAATGTATTACGAATCGATAAGGATTTTAATTCAATTCAAAAATTCAGACAATTATTTATTTGAATTATGTTTTCAAAAAACTTTTCAATTTTTGTGAACTCTATGGAAGTTTCTCTTTTAAACTTAAGATGTTTATATTTCTGATTTCAAATTTCGAGAAACAATTTTAAGAGTTTAGAGAATTTCCGTCTAGGTTTGTGTGTGTTGAGAAGTGATGTTAGAGCGGGACAGCTGCAATTAAAGTGTTGCAAAGTGACAAAAAATTTGAATACATACATACATACCGAATCGCTCGAATAGAGCAAGATATAGGAAGGTGGAGTTAATATATATATACATATTGATATATACGATAATATATATTACTATCCATGCATTTGTTCAACTGACTATGCGAACTGTCTCGAATAT